AGGATTTTTCGTTTAATTTATCATTGTTTATTTACTTTTTTCTGTTTTATTAAATAGAAATTAAGATTTTTGCATAAGTTTTTGAGACATAGTAAACTTATTATACGTTTTTCGGCTTGCTCACGTAACTGTTTGACGAGGAACTCGACTAGTTTCAAGCCATGCTAGAGGCTCATATTCATGAGCGAAACACGACTCGGCGACTGTCACGCTGCTACTTTACGGCGACAGAGTGATTTTTGTGCTGTTTTTTATGAGATAAGCCGGTAGCACACGAATCACCTGATAGTAAGCAATCGGCGTCGCCCATGGACACCCGAAACACCAGAGGCGTTACAAATGCGTTACCGGTCTTTTGGGAATTAAGAATTTGATTCGAGGATTTTGTTCGAGATTCAGAGATTGGGGAGATTGAGGCACAACGCAAGCGTTGTTTCACGTCGATTTTCTGTGAGGCCGTGGTATTATTTCAGTCGAGTAGGCCTATTCGTGCCGAAGCATGGCTCCCCCACACATAAAACACAAATATAACGTTTTGCCTTTACATAGACTGCCTCGTTGGCCGAGTGGTCGCAAGTGCGACTGCCGGGCAAGGGGTCTCGGGTTCGATTCCGGGTCGGGCAAAGTATTACTGGGTTTTTAAAAATCTCAGTAGTAGCACGGAGTCTGGAATTGTGCCCGGTATATGGCAATAGGCTCACCCCCTATTACATGGGACTCATAACATAAATAGTGAAAAGTGGGTGTTACATTGTACAGTGGCATTAAGTGCCGTAATGTGCACCTCTGCCTACCCCTTCGAGGATAAAAAGGCGTGTGGTTATGTTATGTTATGTTATGCCGTTAGATCCTCGTAAAGATAGGCAGAAATGCACAATATGCACATTTTGCACATACATACAATGTAACTAATTCGTCTCGCGGAGAACCTAACGGGTAACCGGGGCTCCGGCTCGACGTGCAGGAGAAGGAACGGGGTGGTTTTTAGTCAGTAAGAGTCTGACACTCTCCCCCGCCTCACCCAGGCGGGAGCAGCCATTCGATGATTTTCCCCCCTTAAAAAAAAATTAGGTAACTAATTCGTGCCGGGCAAGGGGTCTCGGGTTTGCCGGGTCAGGCAAAGTAACACTGGATTTAATAAAAAACATTCTCAGTAGTAGCACGGAGTCTGGAATTGTGCCCGGTATATGGCAATGTCCTCACTCCCTATTACATGGGACTCATAACAAAAATAGTGAAAAGAGGGTGTTACATTGTACAGTGGCATTAAGTGCTGAAATCCGCAGCTCTGCCTTCCCCTTTGGGATTAAAAAGGCGTGATGTTATGTTAGGAGTCCCATGTAATAAGGCATCAAGCTATTACCGTATCGATACCGCACGTAAATCCAGTCTCAAGGAAATTACGAAAGAAAATTAACAAAAAATACTTTACCTGACCTGGAAAACGCACTCTTATTTACCTTATACATATAGAGATCTCCTTAAGTCGCTAATTTTTGCGACCGCTCTATTAACGAACCAGTCAAAATATCCTAATAGTCACTTTTCTTTCTTCAAAATAGTCAAATGCACCAATAAAAAATCAAACAAAAAGTAGTTTCAATGTCACACTGTAAATTAGTCTCCAAAACCCCTTAATATAGAGTAGCAATTTGATTGTAAAGTACACTCGGGGCGCAGTGCAATGCCATGCGGTTTCTTGTTTTGTTTTCCACTGCAGCACGCTTTTTCGCTATCCATTTTATATGAAACCCAACACACGCTACAGACTGAAGTCTTTATAAAAATTTAAGCCTTACCATTTCTGCAATAAAGTTGAAAATCTATTGAAGGATTTTTACAGTCTAGGAATACCTTGATGTGCGGTTGACTGAACCGCTGTGGGAGTAACACTTGAATTTTTGGGCGATGTTCGAATTTGTATTTTATTTTCAAGAGACAGAAGCTTCTATTTGTGGTTATATGTAGTTTGGTCCGAGTCCGAAACCGCGTCCTACACCACCTCCGAAAATGCGCCGAAACCGCGTCCGAAACCGCATCCGAAACCGCGCCCGAAACCACCTCCGTAACAGCGCCCGAGACCGCGTCCGAAACTGCTTCCGAAACAGTGCCCGAAACTGCGTCCGAAGCCGCGTACGAAACCGCTTCCGAAACCGCGTCCAAAACCACGACCGATACCGCGTCCGAAAATGCGCCCGCAATCACTTCCGAAACCGCGTCCGAAACCGCATCCGAAACGGCGCTCGATACTGCGCCCGAAACTGTGTCCGAAACCGTGCCCGAAACCATCCACAATGACAATATGCTTATGTTTTTGATGACGGGTGGTGCTGGTGTTTAGGTGTTACAAACAGGGGCGCCGGGTCCTCTGAAGAGACCTGCTCTGGAGCCCCCATGGTGCAACGTCTGTTACAGCACATCCTGAACATGGTACCTCTAAGACTATAGTAAGATTTTTATAGTTAACATTTCTTGTAGAATATAGAGAAAACTTCGTAGTTAGTTGAGTGGTCTTAGGGTGCGTCCACATCTGGCGAATGCGCAGCTCGAGAACCACTCGTGAGATTTGCATTCGCAGAGCATTCGTCAGATGTGGACGTACCCTCACAGTCGACTATTGAATGAAGGCAAGCCCCAATAAGGAGCATCTTAACGCAGGGAGCCTAATATTATTCATTCTAAGACTTTTCCCAACACGTCTCTCAAATGGTGTTCTGTATAAAATCATGTCCAAAAATAAATAAATATATAAATCTTTATTCATTATAAGAAATTGGTTATAGTATAGATAAACATCTTAATTTAAAATCAGAGATCTCAATATGTTTGAATGCCTGTACTAGGAAGAATATCCTGTATCACAACATATCCTGTGTAACAAAAACCATCTCACTACGGAAAACTGTATATTACAAACATTGTAAATAATATACAATTGGCACATCTGCCAATATAATGTTATACAGTGAAAGAAATATAACAATAATAGTTCTAAGACTGAGGTATCAAGTGTAGGACAATAAATCAGCATTGTTTGACAGAGTGAACGTGCCATAAATACACAGAGCCTTGTGATTAGGAGCCACATAACGATGGAGGTGGTAACACAAATCAAAGTGAGTAAGAAAGTAAAGTTGTACCTATGACTGAAAAAAAGTATTATAGTATTGTAGAACAAATATTTTCTATCATAATTATGTTGTTTTGAAATAGTTAAATTATTAGAACATTTATTTTTTTATTGTATGAAGAGATAGGTTATTGTATGTTTATTTACAGTTCTGTAATTTATTTATTTATTTGGACTTCCAACAAAAGATATACTTACATGCTAAAATATAATTCACCAGAAATTACAGTAACCTTGTGATCCTTCAATTTAAGGGAATTACATTTTTTTATGGCATTTGCCGGTAAACGAGCAGACCGTTCACCCGATGGTAAGCAATCGGCGTCGCCCATGGACACCTGGAACACCAGAGGCGTTAAAGTGCGTTACCGGCCTTTTGGGGATTAGGAGTTTGAGGATCGTTGGGGATTCAGGGATTGGGGAGATCAGGGATTGGGGAGATCGGGGAAGGGAAGCGTAATTGGGCCTATTTTTTAATTCTTTTAACTAGTCACTTCCTATTAAATATTGTGCTCAAAACTTGCTAGTTCTATATTTATAATGGACCTGAATAACTATAATCATAATAATGTTATCTGATCGCACCAAATCGTGACCATAAGTCATACTTTTTATATCATTCAATCAAACTATACCTCAATTGAATCTGATACACAAATCCCGAGCTGGATAAATAACATAACATAACATCATGCCTTTTATCCCCGAAGGGGTAGGCAGAGGTGCACATTATGCCACTGTACAATGTAACACCCACTTTTCACTATTTATGTTATGAGTCCCATGTAATAGGGGGTGAGCCTATTGCCATATACCGGGTACAATTCCAGATTCCGTGCTACTACTGAGAATTTTTAAAAACCCCAGTAATACTTTGCCCGACCCGGGAATCGAACCCGGGACCCCTTGCCCGGCAGTCGCACTTGCGACGACTTGGATAAATAATAATAAATAAATAAATAATAATTAATACATAAACATTATCTTCCCACATCTTTTATATTGTTCCTCCCTCTGTCTTCAGATTCTCAGATCTAAATGCTGTTTCATAAGTTCGAGGACTTCATGCGAGGTCGTAAATTATAGTTACGTTGACACACACTAACTATCTTGAAGGATTTTCACACAACTTCCTCTACAAACTTCGTAATATTTTTTTCTGTATTATATCTTATGTTGTTAATTATTGGGTTTATTTTTGTTCATCGTGTCATGTCATGTTTGGTGGTAAAAGATATCTATGGTTGAAGTGTAATTAGCTCTCCAGATATAGATATAACATAACCACGCCTTTTATCCTCGAAGCGTTAGGCATATATCAGCACTTAATGCCACTGTACAATGTAACACCCACTTTTCACTATTTAAATGTTCTATGTAATAGGGGTGAGCTTATTTACCATATGTCGAACACAATTCCAGACTCCGCGCTTCTACTGAGATTTGCGTTGTCAATAATGCGTTGCTCAACCCGGGATCTAACCCAAGACCCCTTAACCAGCAGTCGCTCTTGGGATTACTCAGCCAGCGAGGCAGTCATAGAGTCATAGAATGGAATTTAAATGCTACTTGAACAAGTAATATGTGGATCTTATACCTAGGTCCGAAATAGTGTTTTATCGGATAAGTACATATTTTTCCTTCTGCATTAAACTTAAATTTTCTTTATATTAGATGATTTATCTGCTCACTTTTTTATATTTATGACGCAAATTATCTAACAAAACCACAAAAACTATAAACAACATTTATTTACTAAATAATTGATCTGCGAATATGCTATTTCATCCTACGCTACCCATAAAAACATCGAGATATCACTAACTTATAAAGTATTTTTTTAATGAGAAACAATTACCTAATTATATAATTACTTCTTTTTTATTGAAGGTCCATTCTGAACCAAAACTCTATTGATGATGTTAGCACAGTCCTTGTTCTCAATGATAGAGACGTGGTTACCCTCCAGGAAGTGTACGGTGACATTGTTCTCTGTGTACTTGTCGAGTCCATAGTTCTCTTCTACAGCTACGAAGGACGGGTTCTCTTTGGGACGAAGGAGGATGATTGGAGACTGTAGCTTCCTGAAAGCCTTCGGGTCGAAGTCCAGGATGGTCTTCAGCCTGTCGAATGAAGCGCTGGCAATGTTTGCGATGAACTTGGCGGAGTACTTGCTCTGGACTGGCGATGTCTTGATGGTCAAGGCCACTCTTTCATCGTAAGACTCGATCTCATTGAGTTTCTCCATCAGACCCTTGGTGACGTCATTGTTGGGGGCGACGATGTCGACGGTGTGACATAGCAAGTTGTTCTGCAGTTGGAAGTCGTTCTTGAAGCTGATAGTCATTGTTAGGAGAGCGTTGAGGAAGTCAGGGGCACCGTCCAGACAGAATACTGTTCCCTTGAAACCTGGAAGTAAGAAGATTATTAGTTTATATGATTTTAGCAAAGCCGACGTAACTTAGAGCATTTTGTTATATTATTTTGGTATATTCAAAATGTCTTTGTTTCCTTACCTTCCTTCTCCAACCTGGAAGCCAGTTCCAAAATGAGGAGGGAACCATAACTGTATCCGAGGAGCCAGAATGGAGCACCAGGCGCCAATCTTGAGATCACCGTCTGTAGAGAACACACAAGATTAGCTCACAGTTGTTATACTTACAATAGAAGTTAGTTAGCAATACATTATTACTTATTAGGTGTATAGCACCACAGAATAAATTTTAATCACCAATATTACATTACTGTCTACTAAAATAGGGGTTAACTAAATTATTGCTCACCAGATGGCACTAGTGTACCTCTGTCTTTTCGTTCAATAAAGATTTAATTAGCTAGTGTCACAGCATTGAACGTTCCATTCTTGACAGCTACAGTGATTATACAAAATTAAGTTTTGCTAGATTTAGCGATCATTCAGATAAATTTCTCACCTGGTGTAACCTGTTGACCATCTGGTCCATGTTCTCGTTCTTGTGTTCTACACCAAGCTGCAGAACGCAGACCTTAATATTTAGTCTTCTGCAAAGGGGCTCCAAAGTAGCTGCCGACCCTTCTAACCCCGGTACCAAGAACATTATGGGCTGTTTTATGTGGATAACTTCATCGTCCTGAAATTAAGACACAAAGCTTAACTAGCAAATTGAATTGTGATTTTTAGAAACTCTCTCATTATCTATTATTAAAATTTAGTAAGGTATAAACTTTTTTATATTTGATGGGCCGACGTTTGATCACTATCTCGCCTGGTGGTAAGCGATGATGCGGCCTATAATGGAGCACATCGTCCCATAAGCAACCCATTCACTCGGGCCTTGAAGACACCCAGGTTTATACCTTTCAGGAAATATAGACTCTTTTAAAGAATACCACAAAACTTACCTCGATTCCGTTACTGATCATAGAAGGCGTGCACACAAAAGGTTCTGAAGCTAATTCTTCATCTCCAAAGTTCTTCATCAGCATATGAAGACCGACAGATCCTTCAACGTGGTTAGATTCTGATGTAGAAGATGAAGTTTCGCTTTTGCATTGTGCTGTTAGTTTTGCTAGCCTTGGGAAACAGATTGATAAATAAGAATCGTGTGACCCCTGACAAAGACACATAATACGTAAAGAGTAATTTAAAAAAATATTGTATGTTAAACGATTGGTTCGTGGTTCCTACCTGGTGAAAGTTAAACTTTTAATATCGCAGACTCTCAGGAAAATCTCAAAATCTGTTTCCAAAGTTTTTTTGATCTCCAAAGCTATCATACTGTCCATACCCATCTCCGCCAAAGAAGTTTGTTGCGATACCGATTTCAAATTTTTGATACCTGATGAAAAACTAAGAATCAGTACGTAGTCATTTCTTTACCAAAGTATGGGTGAAGGTGCAGGTTAACATAAAAGCCTAACACGTTTAGCATGTGATAATAATTGGTAAGCCTTAAACTGACGATAAAAACTGTTAAAGGCTAATCCTCCGTTAGCAACAGTCATCATGGTCTGATACGGTATCGAAATCCATTCTTAGTCTACCAATTCAAATTCTTGGTGTGCCAATTTGGGAACACTTATTACTTAACGATAGAATTCTACGTAGAAACCAATAGATAGTTAAAAAAAGACAAACTTTGTTTGTTCCTTTTGACCATAAATGAGTTTACGAAATAATTTTGTAAATATATGCTGCATGCTCCATGCAATGTTTTATCTAGATAAAACTCAACAACTCCAAATTAGACTGTATTAACACCCACTAGACCAATCAGTATTAATACTAATACCATTATTACACTAAAAGTTGAAAAACCAACCGTACCCATTATTTGTGCAACAGCATCTATTGCATTGGCACATTCTACGCTTCCAGCTTTCTTATCAGCCACTACAATACAAGACACGACAGGAGCGCTTTGTTTCATCAACTTATCGAGAGAAGTCAGACAGGAAGATATTCTCTGCTGGAGGGTTCCTCCGATCTCAAGTTGGACGTCATCTTCTTGTGTGTCGGCTACCAAACCCACCTGTAGGACATCACAAACATAAACAATGACTTTTATTCTCTCGACCACGTTCATTCCTAGATCAATTATTATTGAAGTAAGTTTGAAAAGAGACATTGGTAAATTATCGTATACTTACATCTGCAACTGCTCCCCATTGTATGGTCATAGCTGGTAGACCGACCTTCTTCCTCTCTTCACAAATTCTCTCCATCACAGAGTTGGAGTAACCGTAGTTTGTCTGTCCAGCGTTACCACGACCACAGGACATGGATGAAAAGACCACGAAATCTCTAAGCACAAAATAAATAAGGAAGAATATTTTAAAATAGATTTTAACCAACCGCTATACCGTTTTTCCTCTCTTATATAATGTCTACAATAATATGTTTAAATCAAGTAAAACTATGGGAATGAAGTAATCACTTACTTTAATTCTGGACACAGCTTCCTTGACAGCTTGTCCAAGTTCATAGTAGCAAGTGCCTTTGGTGCGAACGACGTTTTGAAGGCCTCGGAAGTTTGGTTCTCAAATATGGAATCCCTCAGGATGACTGCCAAATTGAAGATAGCGTGCACAGGTCCCATGTTAAGAGCCTTTAGAAGCATTCTCTCGCATCCAGACTCAGTTGAGACGTCGTGTGTCGAAAATTGAACCTCAGCACCATATGATGCCCAGGCCCTGAAAACGTCATTAAATAAATTCGAAATAGGTTCACATGCGGCTTCAAAAGACAAAGAAATTAAGAGAAACATTCTTTAATTATTGACAAACCTCAATCGCGACGACTGGTATCCATTAGTGATACCTCTGCGGGACGTGAGCAGGATCTTCCTGCCACCTCGCATGATGAGCCAGTCAGCCAGCTCTAGACCGAAGCCACCGAGTCCACCAACCACAACGTACACGTGGTCTTCGTGACAAATGTATCTAACAGAAGAGAATGTTTGTGCAATGAAGAGAAAATTGAGACTGGTAATACTGCACAACTACTACTCTTACCTTGGCATAGCGTCAAAGGGTTTGGGAACCGGTCTGATAGAATGACTGCTGGGCTCTTCTTCACGAATCTTGACGATCACCTACAATTTATCATATTCGGTTTAAAATGAAGATTCATGAAATTTAAAATGAATAAGAATTACATGGAAGGGCCTTAAGAGAAAAAAAAGAAAAAAATAATATTACACAAGAGTAATTCTATTACCTTTCCGATGTGTTTGCCAGCAGCCATGTAACGGAAGGCATGTTCCACTTCGTTGGCCTTAAACGTGCAGTAAGTCAGAGGTTTGACGGCACCATCATTAATGCCACTCAGAAGCAGCTCTTGCAAGCGCTAGTTATAATAAGTAGGTATTAAAATATGAATTAAAAATACATTAAACGTATGACGAACGAATCTAAAATGAAACTAAGAAAAAAATTATTGCATTCTAATAAGCATTTAAGAAGTAGGTAAGAAGAGAGTAAGTAACTGACCTTCCTGATCATAACATCCTGATTGAAGATATGGTTCAACGTGATGCCTCGGAAGGTAATTTCCTTTGATATAAAGTACATGGCGATGGCAGTATTATTGTTGATGTCGAACTTGCCGATCTCGAGGAAATGACCTCTGAATGCCAGGCAACGTACTGACGCCTGATCAATACAAATAAAACAATGAAAGATTTTGAGGATAAAATATAACTTTTGATAATTATGAGGAGGGTTGTTACTGTAACTGACCTGTAGTTTGTCACCAGACAAGGAATTGAGCACTATGTTGACACCCTTGCCGTTGGTCTCACGTCTGATCATGTCTTCGAAGGAAGTGTCTCGGGAGTTTCCAATGTGACTATCTGTTGATGATTTTAAAACAACTTGGCTTGACAAACAATCACAAAAATCAATACCAGCACACACTTGTTTTTTATTCAGATCTTAACAAACCTTTAAGTTGTGGAAACAGCTTCTTAATGAATGCTCTTTTTTCCACGGTACTGACGGTTGTGAAGACCTCGCAGCCGTAGTGGAGTGCCACATTGATGGCGGCCTGACCTACTCCTCCAGAACCGTCGTGAATGAGGATAGATTCACCGGGTTTCATCTTACCTAACATGATCTGCAAAATGAGAATATAAAGAACACATTTGTAGTATTTCTTTCTACTTCCTGGCTAATATGGTCAGTTATGTTAATGCACTGATTAAACTGTGTCTCATGACTCAAAGCGGGTGGATGTGATATCAAAGTATAATTAAGATATTTTGTCAGAATTATAGGAGAAAGCTATTGAGAATTTAGTGTCTGAGCAAAATTAAACCACATGGTAAACTCACCATGGTGTAGTATACAGTTCCATAAGCAACAGGTACAGTAGCGGCTTCCTCGAAACTCCACTCATCTGGAATGGGGCATAGGCTCTGTCTGTCTCCTTCCACCAAGTTTGCAATACTTCGGTTGCGGACCAAACCCATGACACGGGTGCCGCTGCAAAATAATTAATATTTGTGTAACTTTATGTTCTTTATTAGAAATTCAAAACCATAATTTGCAGTCTAATAAATGAAGATTTTGACGATTGTTAGGTACATTTATGAAAAATGTTTCATTATAAATGAATGATGTTTGTTGATAAAGACAAAAAAATGTTTACAAACTCACTTGGCGGCCTTTCCGACAAATTCTGTGCCTATCAAGCACTCCTCCACAAGACGACCACCATCAATTGTGTCTACTTTGAAATGACCGAGGGCTCTCATAACATCACGGAAGCTTAACGCTGCGCAGTATACCTAATGTAGAATAATTATAGAGATTAAATAATAAAATAAAAACTTGCCTTTAATAAACCGACTTATAAAAAACCAAAAACTAATAACAAACAAAAAGTCAAAAGTAAAAAGTAAAAAAATAACTATAATTAGTACTGATAGGTTACCCACCCACTGATAGGATAGAAGTCGGTGCCAACAGTAGTAGAGTAAGACTAAAGATTATCTTAAGGGTGTAATACTTTAAAAAAAAAATTGTTTGCACATAAATCGTAGATAGGTTCACTCACGTGGACTAGCACTTTTTCTTTATCCTTATAGACATGGTTTTCCCTGATAGTTCCTTCGACCCATTTCAGTGAAGAAAGATCTCCGATGGTAAGAGCATTAACATATGCATGGTTGGCGCGTACTGTGTCTAAGTCTTTCAAAAGAAGGTGTCGGTAAGTGCCCCATTGGCCCTAGAAAAACACAAAAAAATGACAATGAATCTAAGACAAGTAATGAAAACTATATTATGTATCAATGTTTTGTAAAGGTAAGTTATTTACGTCCTTGTATACGTTGAAGATCAAGTCCTTATTCAGCTGTTCTTCGTAAAACTCCAGGTAAGGGTTGAACGAAGGAGCAGATGGATCAGAAATAAAGAGACCATGCACAATTTCACCGCCAGGCTCCTTCCTCAAACAGTTCACTAATCCTAAAAGACCGTTGATATGTTCATCTTGGGCGTAAAGGACCAGTTTTTGGCCTTGTTTAAGTTCCTTCTTGATTCTGTTCACCCACGAGAAAGTATTATCAGCAGCCAAAACTCTAACAAACTTGGCTGGTCTGGCTCCTACACGTTTTCTTAAGAGCACCAAGTATTCAAAGCCGGTATCGTTAAATGTTACGACGTCAAATTTGTCGGAGTATTTCTTTAGGTTGGGCTGTTCCTTTTCGCGACTCATAATGAAGGCTTTGTCGCAAAGGGTATCGACTGCTTGTTGAAAAACCTATTTAACAAGAAATAAATAGTTATCATCAATATTTCTATGCATTACATTGATTCTTATGGACTTGTATACGTACCCTAGGTCTACCAAGGAGATTAGCACCAATGAACAGTACTGCATTACTCTCTCCGATCAATTTTCTGTTTTCAACAGTAATGTTTGAAGAAACCTTAAAGGGGTCTTTGGAAATCATCAAAAGGTCGCCCAGAGCGAAAGGCAGATCTGCAAGAATTTTTCCAACATTTTCTAGGATTGGTTGTAGACCGTTCTTTTTGTATTCTTCATCGACTAACTCAATAGTTTTGACTTTGTGTGTTTGAATGTTCTCGAAAACCAGCTGGACGTTTGTGCGAAGGATATCTTCGATCTAGCAATCAGAAATTTACTATACATTTTTTAAATATACTCGATAAACATAAATATTTTTTTCATTTTCTGTACCTACCTTCTTAGACTTTCCGAAGTTGGGGATAAACTCGTGCTTCTCATACACTGGTACTTCCAGAGGTTGTCTTTTAATTACAGACGTAGTATGTAGTCCTTGGATTTCAACACCACCAGCCCTGTAAACAAATCCAAACAATATTATTGTTGTATGTACCTTTTTACTTGTAACATTATTGATTGCACAACTTAGTTATAGCAAGTGATGGTTGAGGTGGACGAAACATTATGCAACGTCACCTTTGTTCTTTTATTATAAGTCAGTTAGATATCATTAAGAAATTTAAGACTTTTATAACAATACTCAACCTGATAACGTTAACATCTGGGTATACGCGAACCTCGAACGACTTTATGTGTGAGTGACAATTCATCTTTGATGTCGCATTATAGTGCATAGCAGCATCAATAGACAGTTTCTCAATCCTGGTAGGTACGAAGATACCTCTGGTATCTTGACCGATGATCTTCATCTGCAGCATGCAGTCCAAGAAAGTGACCCAGTTGTTGACCCAAGAGAGACGTCCACGAGTATATTGAACGTTGCAACCGATGACACCACGGAATAGACCGCTGTTGAAAAAGGAAGGCTTGAAAGGATTTTTTGAAGATTCTGTTTCTGTGAATGTGTCTGTATAAGCAACAATGAATTACGAATAAGCTGCAATCTGGATGAGCTACAATGAACAACCTTTTACACATAACGTTTGCATGTTTGGTGTCCTCTTTCTTACTTCTAACCTGTACTGGTATCCTCTGAGACGCAATTCTTTGTAAAAGTCTTTAGTCAGCAAGTGCTTGATAGAGGGACCAGTGACTTCTGGCAAGTTTGGGAGTACCCTGAAGTTTTGGCCGACGTTCTTCTTGGCGTAGATACGACCAGTCACAATCGAAGCGCCACATTCTAAGATCTAGAAAAAGTAATTTAAATTAATGCAAAGGGGATTAGGGCTAAAAATTTCTTTAATGCCAATCCGGAGTATATAAAGATAACAAGAACCTTACCTCAAAATTGCCACTTTTCTTGTGGATTGTGATGGCAAACTCCAGAGAACTTTCCTTAGGAATGTTGGTGGCTCTTTGGAAGCGCACGTTCTCGAAAACTACTGATACTTCAGTGTGGGGTTCCCCCATCATCATACCGAGGGTCTCCCATACCAAAAACAGGTAACCCGTGACGGGGTATAAGTTACAACCTATATAGGGAAGATAAATATTAACTTTAGACTTTTCTGACTAATAGAGTCACTCCTATTAAATTCTGGACTTATTTATTTGTACTCTTAGAACTCGATTTGTGTTTAAACAAGTAGTTCTGATTCGAGTATCTATTCCTGTTCATACAAAGGGTTATATTTACCATTAATGACATAACCAGTCATGTACTCAGATTCATCATTCTTGGACATCAAAACCGTCCTCTCACCAATCTCCATCTTGTCCACATCTTTGAACGATGTTACAAACCTAAGGATAGAACACATACCCGTGGTCAATCGGTTCCAAGATAACGCTGTTATGTATGTACATACAAGATCCTAATTTCGATATTTATGAAATTATTTTATAGGTTAGATACCTTACCAGTTCTCACTGTGGTCCCACTCAACAAGGTGGGCAAGCATTGGCGTACCCTGTGACACAGGGAATGGCACGTGTGGATAGATGTTGGCAAGGTGTGGGTTCAGACCTGACTTGTACAATCTGTGAAAGAAGGGTTTTGCCATTTGAAACCACTGCACACTTTTACCTAAGTTAAGATAGTATAAGTAATCTTGACTTACTTTCCGATGGCAGTGAAAAGAACCTGGGCATTGTTCGGGTGGTCCTTTTGTGTCAAAGCAATGTTGATGACGTCCTTCTTCAGAGATCTGCGCAGGATAGCTTGCAGCACACCGTGGGGCGCGATTTCGATGATGATCGCGTTAGAGTGGATCAGACGAGACGTCTCCTCGAAGAGTACTAAGATCTGCTCCAAATTTGGATTTAGCTGCATAGTTTAAAAGGTTCAGTTTTGGAGGTCTTAATTTTAAAATTAGGAAATTGCAAGATTTGTTTACGTACCTTAACACCGTCTTTATGGCTTTTGGAAGATAGCTTTGTACTTCTATATTGAGAGTTCAGCAATGGCGTGGACACCCACTTTTGTGAACGTGTTCTCTTGAAATTCTTAACCACCTGCTTCAAAGGAGTAAATAAGATACAAAACTATGATTATTTATAATGAGAATAACAATTAAAGTATAATGTTGCAGAACGAGCAAAATTGAAGATGAAAGAATAGAGTTGGAAGCGAGTACCTGATGGTATCCAATATCGATATCAGCCATGGAATACTTGATTAAAGTTTTCTTCTTTAATGCTAGACCTTCATTGTAAGTCGATAATATAGTTTCCTCTGCAGTTAAACAGCCATCAGCATATGCACAACTAAAATCACCGACACTGTAACCTGATGAGAAAAAATGTAACCTTATTATAGCATAATTATCTTTAGAGGTATTATGATGAGAAAAGCAAAAATTTAGTCCCGAACTTTCCAAAATTGTCCAGACGGAGGATTGTTAGTCATAATTATTAAAGTGTATGCGCAGAACACTAAATTTTACTTCATAATACGCATTTTACTTTAAATAAGCATTTCCTACACGTATTCATGAATTTTTAAAAACTTCGACGGAAAATTACAGAAAGTCAAAATAGTAATATATTTTATAAGGAAGGTGACCTCTTGTGATTAAAAATGCAACTCACCAATAATGTAATCAGGTTCAATGCCAATAGTCTTCAAGACATCAGTAAGTCCGATCTGTACAGCGGCGATACCAATGAAGGAGTTAAGGATGTTGTCGTAGATTTTAGGGTCATTCTCAGTGATGATCTTCGTTAGGTTGATGCCTTTAGGTTCTAGAGCTTTGTGGCACCTGGGAGAAGAAATACCTACAGATCATCTAGAATAAACAATCAAGGAGTACTAAACAAAATCACTACATTGTACAATGTACATTCTTATAAAAAAAAATAACTATCTGTCATCATGGTCATCTGTATTACGTAAACGCCGACATCTTTTTTTTTTTTTTTTTTTTTTATTATTTATTATTACATTTCAGTACAGTTTAAAAAAAATTTTTGCACCATTAAACCACAGCTGGTTTGTATTGGTACTCACATTCGCAGTTTTATGTTATAAATTTATAAACCCATTCAGTGTGACAATTATGCTAATATAATAAGTGACAAAGATTTTAGATACATTACATATTTTACGAGTAACAGTAAACATCCATGAGCAAAGCATAAACGTACTCATTAAAATTGCAAAGAAACAAAGTACTCGAAGAAACCGATACCGACACACACGGCACTAGCCAATGTTAAACTTTTGCAGTCTACCCCACAATATGCTACATTGGCATTATGTCTTGTATTAGTTCTCAATATGTAACCGGTCCTCGTCAACTTAAAAAATTGTAATATACAGGCTGTTTCCTACATTTTGGTCGTGAATAATTTTAGACCATGTTATTTATGATACTGTGGTAGTATTTTTTATATTTCTGTTTATAGTTTTTGGAGTTAATTTCGTATTTGATATTTTGTGGAATTTCATTCATTATTGTGGGGATTATAAATTTAGAGGTTCGTCTGCCATAATAATTTTTAACTTGAGGTATTATTAATTTATTTTTGGTAATATTCCTAGTGATTATTTTATGCGAAATGGGTACTTGAATACTTTTATTATTAAATTGTTCACTCAAGAAGGCTAGATCAAAACGAAACTGTACAGGTAATATTTTGCAATATTTAAATAATTCTGTGACGTTATTTCTGCATTTGTCTTTTATTTTACTCGGGACCATAAGTTTTAGAAATCGAACCTGCAATTTGGTTATCTTTTCAACAAGTGTTTTAAAGGTACGCCCGTAACTTGTGATTCCGTATGCAATAATTGATTCCGCCAAGGCCATGTACATGCTAAGTAGTGTTTTAAATGGAACTTTCGGTTTCAATATGTAGAACTTAGCCAATATTGCCCGTAACCTGTCACACACTAAGTCGACATGAAAAGACCAGTTGAAACGGTCGTCTACGATTAGTCCTAGGTACGTGTGGTGCGTTACCTGGTCAATTTCCTCGCAGCGACACGCGCCTCGCCGCGTGGAGTGAAGGCAACCGTGACTATGTGATACAATACTAAAAGGCATCATTAGCTTCAAGTGGCTTGAATGGACATGTATTATTTTAGTTTTACTGGAGTTAATAACCAGTCCAGCATCATGTGCCCATTTGGAGACTCTAGTAAAATCTTCCTGTAACCAGTGCGCTGCTATATTAACATCTCTGTGGGCTGCTACAAGGCATGTGTCATCTGCATATTGATAAATTGAGCAGTGATTTACCACATGCTCCATGTCGTTGACATAAGTCAGGTAGTGCAAAGGCCCAATTACTGAGCCTTGAGCCGTCCCGTCAGTGACATCAACAGCATCACTCATCTCAGTACTGATTTTAACAGTGTATTTTCGATTGTTCAGGTAGTCTTTACACCACCCAAGCATTGGCCCCCGAATCCCAGAGTTTTCAAGCTTTGTCAACAGCGTGTTATGTTTAAGCGTGTCAAAAGCCTTACTGAAGTCAATAAATAGCAAAAGTACATGGTTTCTGGCATTGAGAGATTCATTGACCTCATCAGTAAATTTTGACAGCAGCTGTGAAGTAGACTTATTAGCTTGAAAACCATACTGTGTACTGGACAACACGTTCTGTTTGACATAAAAATCTTGTATCTGTTTACAGATATATTTTTCTACTATTTTGTCAATAACCGGCAAAATAGTGATCGGTCTATAGTTTTTATAGTCACTTAAGCTGCCTTTTTTATGTATAGGGCGCACTATACCGGTTTTCAATACTCCCGGATACTTTTCTTGTTTAACACTAGTATTAATTAACTTTACGATAACACTGGCCATCTTGTTACATATTGATTTTATGTCTATGCACCTAATATTGTCTATGCCAGGTGCCTTCTTTGCGTTGAGATTTTTAATTATTTTAGTCACACTGCTGTTTGTAGCCTTCCTAAAGCAAATTGACGAGTTATGGGGAAACATATACTCTGTTTCATTTAATAAACGATGTTTACAATTTGGCAAGATTTTTTGAACGCTGTCTCTGAATTCTTTAGCAAAATTATCCGCGATAGATTTTATTTTTAAATGACTGTTTTTGAAGGCTTTTAGGATAGACTCGTCAACCGAAGTCTTGTTACGACCAGACAAATTATTGAGTATTTGCCATAGGTTTCTGGGGTTTGATTTATTATTATCTATTTGATTTAAGTAATATTTATTCCTAGATGTTTCGATTATTTTGTGCGTTCTATTTCTTAATTTGTTATACTCTAATCGCAGAATTTTGTTTGTTGGATCACTCTTCCATTTTATGAATAATTGATCTTTTCTTTTACACATGTTATTAATCTAAAGTACTGAGTCTGCCTATCCATGTTTTTATAAATGAAGCAGACTTAATAAATAATTTACAAGTTTCTAGTTGAATGAAACCACTTACTTTTTAATAGCGCTCGCAAAGACGGGTATTTTGATGAGCTCCTTGGCCATACCAGCCCACTGGGAACCCATACCTGAGTATACAAACCACACTGGACGTCGTACTCTTGAGAAGTACTGGATCTCACGCGCTAGAGACACGCTCTTGGTAGAGGTTGAACCTAAAAGATTATGGTTCAGTCAATTTAATTTGTAATTACCATTTTTATTCAATATCGTGTAGATGGCTAATTATTTCATTTAAAAAAAGTCACAATACATCTTACCCAGCACAGTATATCCTCTAAAATCATGCCCTGCAATGTCTTTATCATGAATAGCATGCAGGAGACGGATGTGATCAACATCTACTATCCTGGACTCCAAATCATCGAGGATCCTAGCTACTGCTGACTTAGTGCGTCCTGATACGCACGCGAGGCGAGGTAAGTTGTCTGAAGGTAGACCGTGGTTAACCTAAAAAGTATTTTTTTTTACAAATGGCACTAATATTCGATAGATAATTATTGTTATCGCAATCACTGGTTCATTATATACAACTAGGTATTTAATGGTTATCAGGTTACAGAAAAAGAACGTGAAAAAATCCCTAACCTTTTCTCTAGCTACATCTTTCAGCAAAACATGAGCGTTGGCGCCTCCAAATCCGAAACTGTTGACTCCTGACATACCCCTGCCCCAAGCGGTCTTGTCAGTGACCACTGCCAGCCTCTTCTCAGCCAGGGCTGCTACTCCTTCACGGGGTGTTTGAAAATGAATGTTAGGAGGAATGTAGCCGGTGTTGTAAGCAATACACATCTGAAAAAAAAGGCTGAGTATAATTTATACAGGATGTTATGTCAAGGCATATAAGAGAAACAAAGTGATACCTTGGCTATAGAACAGAGACCAGATGCTGGCTCAGTATGTCCTAAATTAGACTTGATGGAACCGATCAATAGCGGATCCCTGCGCCCGGCGCAGAAGATCTCATCAATGGCCTGCAACTCTTGAGGATCACCGACTTTAGTACCTGGTGACAAGATTCTGACAATATTACTCTTAGAAGATGTAAAAATCCAATGTGGTAATTTTCATCATGTGCTGGTAACTCTGTCCTGTATAATATATATTCTAAACCTAGACTTTTGATTAGCCATTGCAGGAAGTCATTAGCTTTATGAATATGCAATGACTGAAAAATATGCATTCATAAATATGTATATTATAAACGGGTGTATGTATGTATTGTGCGTTGTGCATAAATTAATAAACTTTGAACTACTTTTATTTTATGGTAAAGGTCTAAATGATATAAAAGAAAACTGAGGGCCTAGTTACAGTTTTTCACATTAATTGGTTGACATATTAACGCGTTTAGCTCTCTGTTGGTTAATTGAAGCAGACCAATCGGCGCGCCGAACGCCATAAATATATCGATCGCGGTAACGTAATACAAACTCTAACTAGCCAATCTAATCTTACCTGTACCATGAGCTTCCAGGAATTCTACAATGGATGGAGGAATAGCACATTCTTCATAAAACTCTTTTAATAATAGCTTTTGAGTATCACTGGCAGGGTACGAGATACCATGCTCTTTGTAACCATCACAATTGGTGTTGCCGTGAACCACCCGAGCGTAAACCCTGAAAAAGTAGTGATAGATTTAAAATTTTGTAGAGTATTTCATCAACCCGAAATAAAAATGTTCATTAAATTATTTAAGGTCTGTGACCATTTATGCATTATGCAGGTACTTGTCTGTAGGATTTTGGTACACAGAATAGCTGAATTACCTTCTAGAATCCTTAGCTTTCTGCAAAAAGATAATAACAATTGCTTCAGAACGAACATAGCCATTGGCACTGTTGTCGAAACTTTTGCAAGCACCGTCAGGAGATAATAAACCCAACCTAAAAGGGATAAAGACATCATTAATAAATAAATAGAGTTTACGTGAATAAACCGTCCAACCAAAATACCTTGGCTAATCCTAGACTCGCGGTCTCTCGGCTCGGTAGACGAGCCAATCTACTAAATGGATTGGACTAACTTATTAACTGGAGTATTACTCACCTCACAAACTGCAATGTTACATGGGGATGGAGACACAAGTTGCTTCCTCCGACGATAGCAGCATCACAGTGACCATCTCGAATAGCCCTATATGCATGCACCAGAGCGTAAAGGGAACTTGAGCATGCAGTGTATAGACACTGCATGCTCAAGTTCCCTTTACTGGTTGGGAGTGACTGGTCCCTCATACACTATAGAGTGTATGAGGGACCAGTCACTCCCAACCAGTAGGAAATACGGTTGGCCAACATGGCTCGGGAACATCTAGAATTAGGGTACACTATTGTAATAATTATTATTTTATTTTCATCCATTCAGCAGCTCCCTTTATAAGATCGTCTATCAACCTCTTGTAATCTGGCAATTGATATTTTGCCAGAATGTTTTCCCTACTAATATATTGAAGTTTTTTTTTTGACGGGGGAAAATCATCCAATGGCTTCACTCGCCCGTGTTAGGCGAGAGGGAGTCTCAGACACTTACTTACTTACTGTCTAAAAACCACTCCGGTTCTAATAGTGCACTTTGAGCTGGAATCCCGAAAACTCGTTAAGTCCTCTGCGACTCCGTATCGGCATTAGCCTTATTGGGTCCATCTGTGGTGCTCTTTGAACAGCGCGCGGGACACGACGCGCCATTGCGGAGAACCTAACGGGTCTCTCGCGACGGTTGGAGCGTGAGGAGGTTCGTTCCCTTACGTGTCCCGCCTCCTCTTTAGCGAACATGACTGCTTCGCGGAAGGAGGAGACAGTATCCTATACCTCGTTCCGTACCATAGTCTGGACCAGAGCCAGACGTGAGAGGTCGCCGTCGCCAATCATAGGACACGGCGGTGCTCAGACCATGTAGAGCAGACCGCTACCGTATGCTTCACCGTGTTCAATGTATTGAAGCTTAACTTTATAATTATTATTAAAACTCTTTGTAGTTATGTACAACTTAACTTACCCACTTATACCGTATCTATTTATCTGCATTTTCTCGTAGAACCATGTTTTTTCTGACTCGGAGAAGCAAGTTCCAATGAACACACCGACTTTTGTACCGCGGAGTTCTTTGGGGTTCATACCTGGGACCAAAAAAGTTGTTTAACAAATGTTTACTATTAGATAGTAATTAACATCACAAACGAAAAATGCACATACTTAATATATTGTTCCTCGTGTATTTGAATGAAATTGTCAGTTAAAAAGTAACTAAAACAGTTTTGGAAAATGCAAGCATAATGTAATTTGAAAACAAAAACCCGAAAACTAAGTCTAAATTCTAGACCAAACAGAGCCTTTAGCCAAACGCCACTTTAGCGCTTGTCCACAGAGAGAGTAGAAATAAAAATGTATAGGAATGGCACTGACAAGTGACAAAATTTACGTCAATTCCATATAATTTGGTTTTCCATTCTACATTTAGACAAGCGCTAATTGGCATTTGGCTACAACTGCAGGACTCAAAATTGGGTCAGGACCACAACATCTCAACTCACCAGCATCAATGATAGCTTCATAAGCCTTTTCCAACATAATTCTGCACATGGGATCCATGGTGTGGGCCTGTTCGTAGTGCACACCGAAGAAGGACGCATCAAATTTATTGAGGTTGTTGATCTTGCCCGTACGATGCGGGATTTCAGAGTGAACCAGCTTCCAGCGACGAGCATCATTGCTAACTAAGTCCACCTAAACAAGAAGAAAGAAAGGTTGACGCACACATACAGAAACTTATGAGTTACAAGCGATTTCTTGACTTGACTTGTCTCGGGTTCGATTCCCGGGTCGGGTAAAATACTACTGGGTTTTTTATAAATTCTCAGTAGTTTGCTACTACTGAGAATCTGGAAGTCTGGAATTGTGCCCTGTATATGGCAATAGGCTCACCTCCTATTACATGGGACTCATAACATAACTAGTGAAAAGTGGGTGTTACGGTGTTACATTGTACAGTGGCATAATGTACAATGTAACACCCACTTGTGGTAGGGGTAGGCAGAGGTGATAAAAAGTTCGGGGATAAAAAGGTGTGATGTTATGTTATATTAAGCGATTTCTTCCAGACAACTTCTAATGGAATTCAAAAATAAATCCTTGAACAGGTAAGTAATCATAATACAACAATAGTAAATGAGAAGAAAAAATAAGTCACAGAATAAAATGGTGTCGGCACGACAACTCAATATTTTGCGTTTGTAAGAATAGCGCCAAATTCATAAGGTTTCATCTGTCCCAGTTCTTGATAACGAATGTTAAAATACTAATGTTTATCTATTAATTTTAATTATTCTATTTATGAACTAGTTGTTGCCCGCGACTTCGTTCGCGTAGAATTTGATAATATGTAGCCTATATGTTGACCCGACCTGTTAGTAATATTCATACAATATTTGAAGTGAATCCACGAAGTACTTTTGGTGATCATCCCAGACATACAGACAAAAATTCCAAAAACCATATTTTTGGCTTCGGTATCGATTGTAGATCACGCCTCAAGTATTCTTTTTAAAAAATATTCAATGTACACTTTTGACTTTTCTAGGATTTTATTATATGTATTTTTTTAAGGGGGGAAAATCATCGAATGACTGCTCCCGCCTGGGTGAGGCGGGAGGGAGTGTCAGACTCTGACTGACTAAAAACCACCCCGTTCCTTCTCTTGCACGTCGAGCCGAAGCCCCGGTTACCCGTTAGGTTCTCCGCGACTTTTTTTATATGTATAGATGACGCCGAATGTTTGAGGAGCTACAACAACTATGGCAGCGCTGAATGTCATCAGCTGTGATAGAGTTTGTTTATATATTACGATATATGATACTATATATTGGAATTAAATGAATTAAACTAAGAAGAAGTTTATTAACCATGCAAAAGACCAATTCAGAGTGGAGTTCGACTCATTGTGTTTCGAGTATAAAGTAATTTAACTACAGTAGAACAAGAAGCCGGACGAATTTTATCAAATTAATGTTAAGTTTTCTCTCGAGTAGTAACTATGACGGGTTGGAATCGTGTTACTGTTTATATGTCATCTGCCAGAAGAGATAAACTTACAAAACAAACGATTTCATGTCTAAAATAAGGAATTTTTACATTGCACTTTATGTTTGTTTTAGATTTTATTTAGTTCGTACGACGACTTATGGCCCCATCATTGATTTTCATTAATAAATGGACAAACTAGAGGTATAGTTGGATTATTCTTTATCTAAAATATTGTAGTCATCTAGGGATCGTGAAGCCAATATAAAGTGTTGTTGTGTGAATTGTCAGAACTATTAAGAAAATCTAGAAAACCGTACCTTATTAAAAAGGTTTTCCTGCAGGTGTATGACGGAGTCTGAGTCGGGGAAGTATCCCGACACGCCTGTGATGAGGACCTCGTCTCCGGGCGGAGGATGCGACAGCCGGTGTCCCGACTGCAGCCTGTCCTCACTTATGCTTGTCGCTGCCATCTTTAATTGCAATTGTTTTACAAAACAACTGTTTCACTAGTTACTTTTTCAGTCTACGTTAGGTGTAACATTTATTACAGTCCAAAGCTAACTGAATAAAGTCTAAGATGGTTCTCCGTCTTAGTATAATTAAACGAGTACTATTTTGCATTTTATGAATTAAAATATCACGTGCGCAGTGAACTGAAGATCAAGGTCTGTCTACGTAAACATCGTGTACACATATCAACATTTGGTAGGCGATATGTTGCACAACAAGTTGCTCAGTATTTTGAAAGACAGTGCGGATATTTTGCTAAGAAAACGTTGTCTATTTAAACGAGATTTGGCTCGGATCAGACATGACACTAGAGGGACAATACTGATTTGCGTTTCATTTGCATTGCACATTACGTTTTTATAAAACAACATTGATGCTCAACAGCATGTTACACTTAGATATATAATAAACATACAATATTTGTATTGTAACTTTCGTGAGACACAATAAATTATTATGTTTTCGGCTTACTCACATAATAGTTTGACAAGGAACTCGACTAATTTCAAGCCATGCCAGAGGTTCATATTCATGAGCAGCATTTCGCAACCCGCGACGCGGCGACTGTCGCGCTGCTACTAATGAATTTTGCTCAAAAATAATGCTGCTCATGAATATGAGCCTCTAGCATGGCTTGAAACTAGTCGAGTTCCTCGTCAAATTATTACGTGAGTAAGCCGAAACCATAATAATTTACTGCACGTCAGATTATGTCACACGATGTTCTACGAAAGCTGTTAAATAAATATGTTGACGCCACAAGTTGCGCACCAATTGTTGCGTAGTGGATGTTGGTAGCCGGAGGCCTAAATGATTGTTTAGTTTTGCACACATTACTAATTTATTTTTTGTTGTTTCTACAGGAAACATTATTTATTTATTTTTAAACAGTCACAATGGTAGAAAACCCAATTACAGAACTGACATTATATTTATTTGGATGAATATAAGTATTTTACATTTTGGAGTACACGACCACATCAAATATGGTGCGGGGCCTCGGACAACGCGTGCGTGCTCCAGGCTGCGTAAACCAAACATTACGGCTGCCCCACTATGTTATTTTTTTAAATATTTAGTATAATTTTAACCCAATAATGTCAACATTACTGCAAGTCGAAAAAGTGCATCAGGACAAATTGTTAAAAGCTCGAATAGCCAATTGGCTGCTGTCGGTTTTTCGTCTGTTGTCACGCATGATACTCACGATTATAGTCGTAGTGTAGAACCAGTTCATTAACCTTTTGGAACAGTAAGCAACAGTGTACTGCACAACCTAATCAATTGAACTGGACTCTTTGCTTTTACTTCGAAACTTGATTTACATGCCCAGTAGATAATCGTCTGCCTCGTTGCCTGCCTCGTTGTCATAAGTGCGACTGCCGGGCAAGGGGTCTCGGGTTCGATTTCCGGGTCGGGCAAAATATTACTGGGTTTTTAAAAATCTCAGTAGTAGCACGAAGTCTGGAAATGTGCCCGGTACATGGCAATAGGCTCACCCCCTATTACATAGTACTCATAACATAAATAAATTGTACAGTGGTATTAAGTGCCGTAATGTGCACCTCTGCCTACCCTTTCGGGGATAAAAGGAGTGATATTGTTATGTTATGGTATAATCGTGTGTATCGCATGCGCGCGGAGGCACGTCGCCGGGGTGAAACTCCGCTGCCGCGCCAGATAAGTGCGTGGCGGGATGAGCTCCGGCGCGATCTCATGGCGGAATGGCAGCAACGACTGTCGCAACCGAGGGCTGGGCTCGCTGCCATTGCAGCGGTAAGTCCCCTCTTTGAGGAGTGGCTTGAGAGACGCTACGGCGTCCTCACCTACCGCCTGACGCAGGTCCTCACCGGACATGGAAGTTTCGGGAGGTACCTGTGTCTGATGGGGCGGGAGGAAACGCCCGGGTGTCATCACTGCGAGGACCACCCTGAGGACACGGTGGAACACACGCGGAATGCCCTGCGTGGGCTGAGCACCGCCGTGCCCTCAGGGAAGTGATCGGCGATGGAGACCTCTCGCGTCCGGGCCTAGTGCAGGCCATGATGCGGAGCGAGGGGGACTGGGATGCCGTCTCCTCCTTTTGCGAAGCAGTCATGCTGGCTAAGGAGGAGGCGGGACGCGTGAGGCAGCGAAGCGCTGCCTCCTCGCAACCCAGCCATCGCGAAGGACACACCGGGCGTCGGGGATCGCGGGACGATCTCCGGCCACCGTAAGCGCGGGCCTGCGGACGGCGAGCATGGGTGGCTCCCCGTCCGACCAGAAACAGACCCGAGCGTACGGCGCGTCGCGTTCCGCGCGCGCCTCAAAGAGCCATCAGACCACCACAGATGGGGCCCGATAGGGCCGATGCCGATTCGGAGTCGCGGAGAACCTAACGGGTAACCGGGGCTCCGGCTCGACGTGCAGGAGAAGGAACGGGGTGGTTTTTAGTCAGTAAGAGTCTGACACTCCCTTCCGCCTCACCCAGGCGGGAGCAGTCATTCGATGATTTTCCCCCCTTAAAAAAAAAAAAAAAAAAAAAAAAAAAAAAATGGTATAATCGTCTTATTTGTTATTATGAAGATACATACCTCATAACCTCACGCCTATTTCCCATGGGCGTAGGTAGAAACTATGGAACGCCAATGGCTACGATTCTTACATACTACTAATACTCTTTCGCTTCATCAACAGCTATCAATCTTTTTACACATACTCGTCGGTTAAGAACACTTTTAATTTGGCTCTTATTTATTAATAATAATTATATCGCCAATCTGGTCGATACGTGTCAATGGTGCTTTACACTCTGTAATGTCGAGTAAAATTATATCCAGCAAAGCCGACTTGCTGTAATGCAGTGTGTATTGACACCAACGGTTATGTATGGTAGTTATAAATGTCGTGGTGGCCCGGAGTTTTAAGACTCGAGTCCGTCGAGAGCTGAGGCTTCTCATGCATGAGGGTGCGGGTTCGAAACCTACCAAGGGCAAGTACCAATTTGACGTTTTCCAAGTTATATGTACTTTCTAAGATTATCTAGATACCACTGACAAACGGTGAAGGAAAACATCCTGAGGAAACCTGGGCTTATAATTTCTAATTATAAGTTTGTAATCGCCAACCCGCATTGAGCAAGCGTGGTAATTAATGCTCAAACCTTCTCCGTGTGAGAAGAGGCTTTGCTCAGCAGTGGGCATTTATAGGCTGTTGATAATGGTAGTTAATCATGGGTATGGCAGAAGAAGCATGAAAGCAGGATTAGCGCGGATTAACGCGGTGTAAATGAGCTCTTATTTACACCGCATTGACCTGAGAAGTATGTGTGGAGTGAAATTGAGCGATCGAGTGTAAAATATTGTAACTAGAGAAAGGTGTGGATTTAAAGACGATGTAGTGACAAGGATTGAAAAGGGATGTTACGATGATACTAAGGACATGTAAAAAGGATGGATGAAAGCAGAGTTTCGGCATCGGTAGTGAGCACCCCAGACGAACAAGATAAATTAGAACAGTAATAATACAATCATCATCATCTTCGGCCTCATATATATTTTTAAAAATGTTGTCTTGTAAAAGTGCCGTGTTATAGCCTATTTCTAAGAAAATAAATACATTTTCATCTTTCCCATTAATCCTATCGTGTAATATTTCGTCTAGTACTTTACTATTTTCCTATCAATTGTACTTTAATGAGACTGCTATATGTAATACATATAACCAAGTCAATTCCAAGTTAATTTAAACATATTATGTATGTACATAATATGTATGAATTATGGGTATGTATGGGTATAAGCTGCACCTACGTATACATTATATCTTTGCTATACGCAATAAAATAATAGGTCTCGTGGTGACCCGGAGGTTTTAAAATGCCCGCTTATTATGCAAAAGTGTTCGAAACCTACCAATAGCAAGTACCAATGTGAATTGTTACTTTTCCGAGTTATTATGTATTTTCCTACTTTCTAAGATTATTTAGACACTACTGACAAACGGTGAAGGAAAACATCGTGAAGAAACCTGGGTTTATAATTTCTAATTATAAGTTTGAAATCACTAACTTGTATTGAACAAGCGTGGTGATTAATGCTCAAACCTTCTTCGTGTGTGAAGAGGCTTTGTTTAGCAGTGATCATTTATAGGATGTTGATGAATAAAATAAAACAACAAAACAGAAAAATAGCGAATGTTTATTAACTTTTTTGGATTTAAAACCATGCGGTTATTTGTACAATTAATAATAATTTAATACTCAGTACCAAGTAGTAATATGCCCTAGAAAAATACAATGTCTTGAGTTAAACATTACCCCACTTAATACGCGTCAAATAATTCTACCAACTTTATTAAAATATCATAAGGATATAAGTTACCTAACGACTAACAAAAAGGATATCTACATTCATCCATTTTCATTGTAGATGTAATAACAATATTTATACTGACAATGACGTAATTTTTACCGTTTATCATATTCATGCTCGAAGTTCTGCTTTCATATAATACTGGTTACTTATTGGTTGCATTACTTTTCTCAGCCAAAACTCTGTTGATGATGTCAGCACAGTCCTTGTTCTCAATGATAGAGACGTGGTTACCCTCCAGGAAGTGTACGGTGACATTGTTCTCTGTGTACTTGTCGAGTCCATAGTTCACTTCTACAGCTACGAAGGACGGGTTCTCTTTGGGACGAAGGAGGATGATTTGAGACTGTAGCTTTCTGAAAGCCTTCGGATCAAAGTCAAGGATGGTCTTCAGCCTGTCGAATGAAGCTCGAGCAATGTTTGCGAAGAATTTGTTGGAATAATTGTTCTGTATTGGAGACATTTCGACTGTCAAAGCAATTCTTTCTTCATAAGACTTGATCTCGTTGAGTTTGTCCAAAAACTCGTTGGCAACGTCAAGGTTAGGAGCAAGAATGCTTAAAGTGTGGCACAGCAAGCTGTTCTGCAGTTGGAAGTCATTCTTAATATTCATGGTCTTTGAAATAATAGCGTAGAGGAAGTCAGGGGCACCGTCCAGACAGAACACAATTCCATTGTGACCTGGAAGCAATAGAGCAGATTAGTATGTGTGTTGTAAATTTTGGTCTATCTGATGCGAATTTCTGATAACGTGAAAGTTTTAGTCTTCTTACCAGCTTTCTCCAGCCTCGAAGCCAGCCCCAAAGTGAGGAGAGTACCATAACTGTATCCGAGGAGCCAAAATGGAGCACCAGGCGCTAGTTTTGACATCATCGTCTATGGAGAGCAAAAAATATTGTGTTGCTGTAATGCAGTGTGTATTGACATCAACAATTATGTAGGTAGTGAATCATGGGTGTGGCAGAAGAAGCATGAAAGCGGGATGAACGCGGTGCTCAAACCTCCATTTGTTTAAAAAATTATTTTCGTCGGAATAATTGAAATTTCGCGAAAAAGATGAATGAACGATAGTATCTAATAATGATTAAGTATTTAAATGTATTCGTTCTTTCAATTGTATATGTATTGAGCAGTGTAATCGGTTTTTTATACCGTTCTATTCATATTAATAAATAAACGGTTTTGTGGGGCTTAGATTATAAAATACTTACCTGTGTGATATAAAGATAAATAAAAGAAATAATAATTAGGTAGTTCATAAAATATAACTTCAGACTTGAAGTATTCAAATAAAGTACTCACTTGATATAACCTATTGACCATCTGGTCCATGTTCTCATTCTTGTGCTCCACACCGAGCTGCAGCACGCAGACCTTGATCTCTAATCTCTTACATAGCTGCTCCAGCGTCGCTGCGAAGCCCTCTAGCCCTGGTAGCATGAACATCACCCGGTCTCTAGCGGGGGTAGCTCCTTGGACCTGGACGAATCAAGTTACAAAAAAATACTAGCAAGTGATGGTAATTTTAAAACCATCTTATACGTTTTAGAACAATCAGAAAGGTATAAATAAACTCGCCTCCAGCCCATCGCTAATCATGGAAGGCATGTAGATGTAAGCTTCTGAAGCTGTTTTCTCATCTCCAAAGTTCCTCATCAGCACACGAAGACCAACGCCTTGCACGTTAGTGGAGTTAGATGTTGATGCAGAGGATGAAGCTTCATGTTGTGCTGTTAACTCTGCCAGTCTGGGAAAAGAAGAAGTAGAAGAAGAAGAAATTATGAAGAATTATGCGAAATTGACCTTGGCAAAAAAGACAATATTGTATGTTTACGTAAAATTAATGTAGATATCAGCAACAACGCTGAAACATACTATGTATCTACAAATTAAAGTCAACCACACATATGCGATCGCATGCACTCAAAGCTCTTTATAGCCTGATCTTAGACAAATATGGTCCTAAAATCAAACGATTTAATAGACTAACCTCGTAAACGTCAAGGTTCTAATATCTTGTGCCGTAAGAAAAATCTCAAATTCTCTCTCCAGTGTTTGATTGATTTCCAAAGCCATCATGCTGTCCATACCCAACTCAGCCAGAGAACTTTGTTGCGATACCGTCTTCAAATCTTTAATACCTGATGAAGAAACATAGGATTGGTTCTGGTTCTATTTCAAAGTGTATGTGAAAACCCTATGGTCTTTAATATTATATACTTTTTTTAAAAGAACAATAACTACTGCCTCGTTGGCCGAGTGGTCGCAAGTGCGACTGCCTGCAAGGGGTCTCGGGTTTTAAAATTCTTAGTAGTGGAGTCTGGAATTGTGCCCGGTATGTGGCAATAAGCTCACACCCTATTACATGGGACTCATAACATAAATAGTGAAAAGTGGGTATTACATGGTACAATGGGATAATGTGCACCTCTGCCTACCCCTTCGGGGATAAAAGGCATGATGTTATGTTATGTAGAACAATAACTATTTAATGAATAAAATATTTTAAACTAATCATCAGCTATTGATTATTTATTAAGACCATCACTCAATAAACTTCTATTGTATCAACAGATCAGCGTTACTTATTTAGATAAACCAATCTTACCCAAAATTTGTGCTACTGCTTCTACTGCATTGGTACATCCTTCGGCCCCAGCCTTCTTCTCAGCCACCACAATAGAAGACACGATGGGAGCATCCTGCTTCATGAACTTGTCGAGAGCAGTCAGACAGGAAGATATCCTCTGCTGCAGGGTTCCTCCGATCTCAAGTTGAATGTCTTCCTCCTGTAAGTCGGCTATCAAACCTACCTGTGGAAAATTGTGCAGAATTTGGTTTTTAATAGGGTAGTTGCCAGGAAATGAAAATTCAAAATCGAATTAATCCGTCAGTTAAATAATGAAAAAATATTAGAAACATATTTTTTTATTTTCATGTATAAAGTTACAATACTTAGATAAAATGGAGTTAAATTTTGGGAGGTCGTTACATAACTAAGTGTTACAAAATGTAGTGTGACGTAACACGATATTTCAGATTATTATATCGTCGAAAGTATTTAATTTTGTGAGAAAAAAAGAATACGTGTCTAATGTTTTTTTATTATCTAACTGACGGACTAATTATATTTTTATATAAATGGCGCCGAGAGGTCGCAAGAGCGACTGCCGGGCAAGGGGTCTCGGGTTCGATTCCCGGGTTGGGCAAAGTACTACTGGGATTTTTAAAAATTCTCAGTAGTAGCACGGAGTCTGGAATTGTGCCCGGTATATGGCAATAGGCTCACCCCCTATTACATGGGACTCATAACATAAATAGTGAAAAGTGGGTGTTACATTGTACAGTGAAATAATTTACACCTCTGCCTACCCCTTCGGGGATAAAAGGCGTGATGTTATGTTATGTTATCTACCAGACGGACATTAAAATAAAATGTAGGCAACTACCCTATTCTATTAGTGTATTCTATCAACATCTTCTTGCTTGTAATTCCGATTGTTTCCATACATCTACACGCAGATCAACCATTAAGTATTCACCAGAGGGTACATCATCGTCATCATCAACCTATAAGTGGTTACTGATGACCAAAGGCCTCTTCTCGCACGGAGAAGGTTTGAGCATTAATCACCACGCTTACTCAATACGGTTTGGCGATATCAAACTTTTATTTAGAAATTATAAGCCCTGGTTTCCTCACGAAGTTTTCCTTCGCCGTTTATCAGTCGTGTCTAGATAATCTTAGATGGTACATATAACTCGGAAAATGTCACATTGGGTCCTGTCCTTGATAGATTTTAACCCCGCATTCACATGAGAGCGTCTTAAATCTCTGAGCCACCACGACATTTACCACTATTCACCATATGGCTATTAAGGTATATTTCAAAATATCATGTACTCACATCTGCAATAGCTCCCCATTGCACAGCTAGAGCTGGGAGGCCAAATTTCTTCCTTTCTTCACAGATCCTTTCCATCACGGAGTTGGAGTAACCGTAGTTGGCTTGGCCAGCATTACCATGACCACAGGATACAGATGAAAAGACCACAAAATCCCTAGAGGAAAAGAAAATTAAGTTGTTCATAGTGAAATTTGTAATAAAAGTTAATATCATGTTTTATATACAAACTCTGTAAGTCTTTAGATGCAACTAACAAATGTGAAAGAGCCATTCGTAGGCTCACAAATCGGTTGGCTTGATCGGAGTGATACCACGGTCACACAGAAAACCGACGTGAAACAAGACTTATGTTGAGTTTCGTTGTTTGATCCCCAATCCCCGAATCCCCAACAATCTTCAAATTCCTAATTCCCAAAAGGTCGGTAGCACACTTGTAACTCCTTTGGTGTTTTGAGTTTCATGGGCGGTGCCGATTGCTTAACACCAGGTGATCTGTCTACACGTTTACCGGCTTATTCCAAAACTACAATTGGCTTAAAATGACTGATTTGATACTCACTTTAAATCTGGACACAACTTCCTCGATAATTTGTCCAAGTGCATAGTAGCGAGCCCCTTTGGTGCGAAAGATGTTTTGAAGCTTTCAGGAGTTTGGTTTTCAAAGATGGAATCCTTTAAGACGACAGCCAAGTTGAAAATAGCATGTACAGGTCCCATGTTCAGCGCCATCTTGAGCATATTCTCACATCCAGACTCAGTGGTGACGTCATGTGTTGAAATCTGGACCTCGGCACCGTATGATGCCCAAGCCCTAAATGGTCATAATTAAATAACTTGTATGTGTATAACCAAAATTGCTTTGAATATAAGTAAAACAGATTTGTAAGGTAAACCTCAATCGAGATGACTGGTATCCGTTGCTGATACCTCTGCGAGAGTTGAGCAAAACTTTCCTTGCGCCTCGTATGATGAGCCAGTCAGCCAGCTCCAATCCGAAGCCTCCGAGGCCACCGACCACTACATACACATGGTCTTCATGACAAATGTACCTGGTGAAAGAGACTTAGTAACGTTGAGATAAAGAGGGATTTGGAATGGCAGAAGACTATACATGGCAAGGCAAATAGGTAAGCCAAGGTTCTATTTACGTACTACAATAAAATAATTTTAAACCCGTAATGGAATTGTAATTTACCTCGGTACAGCATCAATAGGTGTCGGTACTGGTCTAATGGGATGTTTATTGCACTCTTCCTCACGGATCTTAACGATTACCTGTGATAACAATTTGAACATATTATCAAATAGCATATTTTAATGAGACTCCAATTTAAATATTGTTACGGAGTAGTGTTAATATTTGATAGAAAAGCGAATAAAGAAAAAAACATTTATAAAAATTAAAATCCGAATTCTGAGGCCTTGCGTTTCAGTAATCGAAACGAAACCGCGTTCGGTGTCTGATTGGTTGGTTCATTGAAGCGGGCCAATCAGAGCCTTCTGTAAAATATACACATTTACCCATTTACCTTTCCGATGTGTTTGCCAGCAGCCATGTAACGGAAGGCATTTTCCACTTCGTTGGCCTTAAACGTGCAGTAAGTCAGAGGTTTGACGGCACCATCTTCAACACCATTTAAAAGCAGATCTTGCAAACGCTATAATAGGTATGTACAATTAAAGACATGCTAAATGATTGGTATTCATTATGCATTCCATTTTTTCGGACTATTTTACAGACAAATAATTTTTATTGTCAGTGAAAGCTAAATGGTTGTTGAAAAAGCATAACAATTAATTAAAACTAGTCATAAGAGATTGGTGAAAATAGATATAGTAACTCACTTTCCTGACGATGGCGTCCTGATTGAAGATGTAGTTCAACATGACACCGTGGAAGGTGATTTCCTTTGATGAGAAGTACATAGCGATGGCAGTGTTGTTACTGATGTCAAACTTGCCGATTTCAAGGAAGCGACCTCTGAACGCCAGGCAACGGACTGATGCCTAAGTAATTTAGGTAAAAAAATGGAAGTGAATTAAATATAACTTTTAATGAGTTGTAAGCGAAAAAAAATGTAACCAACCTGTAGTTTGTCATCAGACAAGGAGTTGAGCACCATGTCGACACCCTTGCCGTTGGTCTCGCGTCTGATCATGTCTTCGAAGGAAGTGTCACGAGAATTGCCGATGTGACTATCCTTAAGTTGTGGGAACAGCTTCTTGATGAAAGCTCTCTTCTCCGCGGTACCGACGGTGGTGAAAACTTCACAGCCGTAGTGGAGCGCTACATTGATGGCGGCCTGACCTACTCCTCCAGAACCGGCGTGGATGAGGATAGACTCGCCGCGCTGCATCTCACCGAACATGACCTGTGAGAAAATTTTGTAACGAAATATAGGTTTTTACTCTCCCCAGTACGCATTAAATGAACCAGATATTTGTTTAATCGCCTTCATCTTTAATGAAAAATATATCAATACTTTTTAAGATTTTTGTCCGTATCATGCGAACAATCAATTTATTAACTATAGTATACACAACTTACCATAGCATAATACACAGTTCCATAAGCTACAGGTACAGTTGCGGCTTCCTCGAAGGTCCACTCGTCTGGAATGGGGCACAGGCTCTGCCGGTCTCCCTCTACCAAGTTCGCTATACCTCGGTTACGGACCATACCCATGACACGAGTACCACTGTACAAATTAACATTAGTGTTAAGACATTACTTACCTACCTTCAGCAAGCATGGTGATTAATACTTAAACTTTCTCCGTGCAAGAAGAAGCCTTTACTCATTTGATGGGAACTTGTATCATGATGTTAATGATAATGACGTTAAGACACTTTAAGGCATTTAAACAATTAACTATATAAAAAAATAATTTATCAATGTATTCACGCTTGAAAAATAGCTGTTATAATAAATACTCCACGCGAGCGAAGCCGCGGTCATCAGCTAGTACATAATAACTTGAACCATCAACTTACTTAACAGTCTTGCCGACAATTTCAATGCCTTTCACGCACTCCTGCGCGAGACGACCGCGATCGATAGCATCTACTGTGACACGACCAATGGCTGTCATGACGTCACGGAAGTTTAAGGCGGCGCAATATACCTGATGATAAATGTAATAATTTAAATATTTACAGTGAGTCAAAAGACTAAAAACATTAGTCTTATTTCTTTTCAATGTCCACAACGTTTGTTCATACAAAGTAGTCTCTAAACATCGGAAATAAGGTCTATAATATTGTAAGGTGGAGAGCGGTCACCGGTGATCGCTTCGATTTTGACCAGTTGTCACTGCTGTATCACATACAGTAGAGACTATACTTACAGTTATAGTTACACCTTTAACTATAAGTTACCGTTTTCAAGGTAGCACTAATACTATAACTTACAGCTTGTTTACCTCTTCTTTCATAAAAAAGTTCAACAGCATACGGATTACCTGATGGTAATCAATCAGCACTGGCCATGGACATCCGCAACACCAGAGAAATTGCAAGTGCGTTACCAGCTTTTTAAACTTACACACTTAAAAACTGATATTTATAGATCTATAGTAGAAAACATGGTGTCTTACATAAACTAGCAGTTTTTCTTTGTCCTTAAACGTATGGTTATCCCTGATGGTTCCTTCAACCCATTTCAGTGAAGAAAGATCTCCGATGGTAAGGGCATTCACATAGGCATGGTTAGCAGGAACTGTCTCCAAATCCTCCAAGAGAAGATGTCGATAAGTGCCCCATTGACCCTGTAGATAAATCGTATAAATGGTAATTCTTTACATTTTCATGTAAATCGCCGTAAAATAGTTATAAGGTAATTATTACTTACATCCTTGTATACGTTGATAGCCAAGTCTTTCTTCAGCTGTTCTTCGTAAAACTCTAAGTCAGGATTGAACGGAGGAGCTGATGGGTCAGAAATAAGGAGACCATACACGATCTCACCGCCAGGTTCCGCCCTCAAACAGTTCACTAATCCTAAGAGACCGTTGATATGTTCATCTTGTGCGTAAAGTACCAATTTCTGGCTTCCGTTGAGTTCTTTCTTGATTTTTTCTACCCACGAGAAAGTATCATCAACAGCTGAAATTCTAATGAACTTGGCTGGTCTTGCTCCTATTCGGTTTCTTAAGAGCACCAAGTGTTCAAAGCCCGTGTTGTAAACAGTGACGATGTCGTATTTTTCAGTGAATTTCTTTAAGTCAGGAAGTTCTTTTTCACGACTTATTATGAAGGCCTTGTCACGTAGGGTGCTGAATGCTTGTTGAAGGACCTGCTTCAAAAAAAAAATAGGTAACCACCATTGAATTTTGCTAACATATCAACTCAGGGTTTATACGTACTTTAGGTCTGCCAAGGAGGTTAGCACCAATGAACAGTACTGTGTTACTCTCTCCGATTAATTTCCTATTTTCGGCGGTAATGTTGGAAGGTACCTCAATGGGTTCTTCGGAAATCATCAATAGTTCAGCTTGCTTGATGGGCAAATCTCCTAGCATGTGTCCAACGTTTTCTAAGATAGGCTTCAGATCGTTATTTTTGTATTCTTCGTCGACTAACTCAATACTTTTGACTTTGTGTGTCTGAATGTTCTCCAGAACCAGCTGGACGTTTGCACGAAGAATACATTCAATCTAGTAATTAGAGATTTACTTCAGTTATTTAATAATTACACTTAATGCTACGTATGTAATTTGTTTAACATTTACCTTCATCTTAGATTTTCCGAAATTGGGAATAAACTCGTATTTCTGAAGTACGGGTACGCCAAGAGGTTGTCTTTTGGTAATGGGTGTAGCATGAAGACCCCGTATTTCGATGCCACCAGCCCTGAGCAAATTAAACCATTAGTCAAAAGTACGTACTGATTGTAGTGACCGAAACATTATTATTGATAGGTGTTATTCGTTGTTCTATTAAGTTAGCAGACATCATTAAAGTAGGGAGACATTTTTAATGATCTCCTTACCTGACAACGTTGACATCTGGGTACACACGGACCTCAAAGGACTTTCTCTTCGAGTCCGGATTCATTTTTGATATTGCATTACAGTGCATAGAAGCATCGATGGAAAGTTTCTCAATCCTAGTGGGTACACAGAGACCTCTTGTGTCTTGGCCTATGATCATCATCTGCATCATGCAGTCCATGAAAGTGACCCAGTTGTTGACCCAAGCGATACGACCGCGGGTAGAGTCAACGTTGCAACCGAGGATGCCACGGAAAAGGCCGCTGTGGAAAAGTAAAATATTTTTTATGAAGATGTTGTTTATAAAGCATCAACCTTATTCTCATCAACGTACCTGACTTTTTTATTTCTTTATTCCTACCTGTCGTATATCGTTGTGTCTCTAAGGTCTAAAACGCCCACTTTTCATGCATGAGGGCACGGGTTCGAAACCTACCAACGGTATGTAGGTACCAATGTGACTTCTTCAGAGTTATATGTATGTACGTTTTAAGATTATTTGGACACCACTGACAAACGATCAAGACAATCATTGTGAGGAAGCCGGGGCTTATAATTTATACTTATAAGTTTGAAATTGCCAACCCGCATGGAACAAGCGTGGTGATTAATGCTCAAACCTTCTCAACGGTCAGCTATGGCCACAGGCTGTTGATGTAATGATGTGATTCCTACCTGTATTGATATCCTCTAAGACGCAGTTCTTTGTAGAAATCTTTAGTCAGCAAATGTTTGAAAGCAGCACGTTTAACTTCTGGCGAGTGCGGGAGTACCCTGAAATCTTGACTGACGTTCTTTTTGGCATAGATACGACCAATCACGATAGGAACGCCACTTTCTGAGATCTAGGAATTCATGTGAATAAATTAATGTCATATTTTTTTGGCTTTAATTAAATAAGAGTCATTGTCAAGGTCTGACCTCAAAGTTTCCACTTTTTTTGTGGATTGTGATGGTAAACTCCAGGCTTCCTTCCTTAGGAATGTTAGTAGCTCTCTGGAAGCGCACGTTTTCGAAGACTACTGATATTTCCGTGAAGGGTTCTCCCATCATCATACCAAGGGTCTCCCACACCAAGAATAGATAGCCGGTGGCAGGATATAAGTTACGACCTGTATGAGGCAAACATTGATTTCGGTAGTATATTCAAGTGAAGACGGAAAATAAAATTAATGGTAAACGGGCCTAGCTAAATTCCCAAAGGTAGCTGATTACAGCAAACCTTTCACCTACGTCTTTCAATGCCTATTTTTTTAATTCTGATCAATAATCGTTTTTGTTCATAGACCTGATGTCTATTATGATATCTGTGACAATTATTAACTTATGAGACAACCAATCCTGGAGTTACACCAGTTAAAATCTGACTTTAATTTCATTTGCATCTCTGGGTACTTGACGGTTTGGGTCTAAATATGGTATATGGTCCTTCTTATCCTGCTCTTCTACCAAAACCAGATCAGCTGATTATATTTTCTGTCAATTATTATACTTACCATCAACGACATGACCAGTCATGTACTCGGATTCGTCATCCTCAATTGATTTCCAAACCGTCCTTTCACCAACTTTCATCTTATCAAGGTCATTGTATGAAGTTACAAACCTAAGCACAAAATACAGATCCACAGTCAATTAGTTATCAAGTTAATTTCCACCTTGAGAACAGTATTATTTGGTTTTATAGAATGAATGAAATGACTTACCAGTTCTCACCGTGTTCCCATTCAACGAGGTGGGCAAGCATAGGCGTGCCTTGTGACACGGGGAATGGTACGTGTGGGTAGATGTTGGCTAGTTGTGGATTCAGACCTGATTCGTATAGCCTGTGGAATAAATATGATATTACAAGGAAACATCGTCGGTTTGCCGTTTGTAAAACTGTCAAATTCAATTAACAGATAAGACAAGCGACATTTCCGCCCACTTTCGCTTGTAACAGCATCGCAAACCGGCGCATCACTTTTTCGTATCGTATATAAAACTTCTTTCTTTATTGTTAAATTGTGTGTAGCCAGAAATCAATAACAACAATTATTGTGATAAAACTTTTAGTAACATTAAATTAATTTTCTGAAGACCTATCTTGTAAATCAGTAATGAGTGTCTGTTATTAAACAGACGTTTTAATCCAGAATCATCATAAAACATTGACTTACTTTCCGATAGCAGTGAACAGAAACTGGACATTGTCCGGGTGGTCCTTCTGTGTCAAAGCAATGTTGATAACGTCCTTCTTCAGAGACCTGCGCAGGATAGCTTGCAGCAGACCGTGGGGAGCGATCTCGATAGTAATCGCGTTAGCATGGATCAGACGTGCAGTCTTTTTGAATAACACTGGTCTCTGTTAAAAATGATTGTAACAAAAGACGTTATTTGTTATTATTAGTTTAGCTCCTAATTTACGACTGAATTATGGTCGTATTAGGTAGAATCATAAATATAAACTTATCATTCCTTAAAGGATAGTCAAGGATGACTATCTACATAATGCAAAGTAACAATTCTCAAGAAAACTTGTTTACGTACCTCATGACCACTTGTCTGACATTTACTTGAAGCTTTCGGATTTTTACATTGACCCTGCAGTAGTGGAGTGGATACCCACTTGTCGGAATATCGTTTGAAGTTTTCGACAACCTGTTTCAACGATAAGACATACAAAGTAAGTCATTTACAAAATTATATTGAAAGATAGAGTAGCATATTATAATCTGCACCTGTTCAACACCGGTGTCAGTTGTCAAAGGTTTCTTATTGTATTCCAAGCCCTTGCGGTAAGCGGTTAAGATGGTAACCTCTGCAATTAAACAGCCCTCTGCGTATGCGCAAACAAGTTCACCAACACTGTCACCTATTCAAAGAAAATCGTAACGTTTTTATGGTATAAGCCAGTAAACGAACGTCAAAACATCTTTCACACCAAAGGGGCTCGCTACTATACACTTAGACAAATTATCGAGCAAGTTGTGTCCAGATTTAAAGTGAGCATCAAATCAGTTTTATTAATCCAATTGTAGTTTTGGAATAAAGCGGTAAACGACTAGACGGATCACCTGATGGTAAGTAATCGGCACAGCCCATGGGCCCCTGAAACACTAGAGGCGTTAAAAGTGCGTTACCGGCCTTTTAGGAATTGGGAATTTAAGTATTGTGGTAGATTCGGGGATGGGGAGACTGGCGAGGGGGACAAGGGTAATTGGGCCTCCGGTAACCTCACTCACACGACGAAACATAACGCAAGCATTGTTTCAGGTCAGTTTTCTGTGGGGTCTTGGTATCACTCCGGTCGAGCGGGCCCATTCGTATCGAACCATGGTTCTCCCACACTCTAAATCACATTTTTTTTTGTCAGTTCTGTTTTAGTTTTTTACAGTAAATTTGAAGATAAATAAACGCGAAGGAAATATTGTCATAGTTTAAGAACTTTTCGATAATTATAATCAACTCACCAATGATGTAATCAGGTTTAATGCCAATAGTCTTCATGACATCAGTAAGGCCGATCTGTACAGCGGCGATACCAATGAAGGAGTTGAGGATGTTGTCGTAGATCTTAGGGTCATTCTCAGTGATGATCTTCGTTAGGTTGATGCCTTTAGGTTCTAGAGCTTTGTGGCACCTAAGTACGATATCAGCAAGTTATTGTGTACAATGTTCTTGTGTACAATAAAAATGAAGCAGCGCAAACAAAACTATTCTACTATATTTATATAACAACTTACTTTTCAATAGCAATAGCAAAGACGGGGATCCTCATGAGGTCCTTGGCCATACCGGCCCACTGAGAGCCCATACCTGAGTACACGAACCACACTGGACGACGCACTCCTGATAAGTACTGGATGTCACGCGCTAGAGACACACTCTTCGAGGGAGTCGAACCTGAAAACAGGCCATGATTTCTTAACTCTTCAGAAGGTCAATGTCATGCCAGTATTGTCCGTAGATCAATTTAAAATTTATTGTTTTATAAAGTTAATCATTAAGTACAATTTTAAAGCTAGAATGTATGCTTTGATTGAACTTAAAGTTACCTAGCAGTGTGTATCCTCTATAATTATGCCCTGATATATCGTCAGCATGAATAGCGTGTAGTAGACGGATCAGATCAACATCTACTGTCCTGGACTCCAAGTCATCAAGGATCCTAGCTACTGCTGACTCCGAGCGACCTGATACGCAGGCGAGACGGGGGAGGTCGTCTGATGGAATACCGTTGTTGACCTGATGAACATAATATTGTCAAGTACTGATATTAGGAAATAGATAAATGTGATAAATGTTCATAAACATACCCTTACCTTTGCTCTAGCGACATCTTTTAACAGAGCGTGAGCGTTGGCTCCTCCAAACCCAAAACTGTTGACTCCTGACATGCCCCTGCCCCAAGGAGTCTTTTCTGTTACCACTGTAACCCTTTTCTCAAGCAGAGGTGCTACTCCTTCGCGAGGTGTTTTGAAGTGAATATTCGGTGGAATGTAGCCAGTGTTGTAAGCAATGCACATCTAAAAAAGAGGTTGTATATTTTATATTTATGATACCGTCTGTGTGTACAGGTCACAACAAGCAATATGAGCAAATTCGTACTTTAGCAATAGAGCAAAGACCGGAGGCAGCTTCACTGTGTCCCAAATTGGACTTAATGGAACCGATCAATAAAGGTTTATTCCGACCGGTGCATAAAATTTCATCAATGGCCTGCAACTCTTGAGGGTCACCGACCCTGGTACCTGTGACAAGATTACTCGTTTAAAGGCACAGACATCTAGCCTAGCTCTGAAGTTAATCATCAGATAAGTAATTGACTGATGTACCTATTCATAAATAGCACGATTCCTTTATTATAAAACTTGTGGTACCTGTGCCGTGAGCCTCCAGGTATTCCAAGACGGACGGTGAGATGGCGCACTCTTCGTAGAACTCTTTCAACAGTAGCTTCTGAACAATACTAGCAGGGTATGAGATACCCTGTTCTTTGTAACCATCACAATTGGTCTTGCCGTGAATCATCTGAGCATAAACACTGGTAAAATACAAAATAGTTAATTAATTGAAATTCAAAGACTTTGTACGAAATAAATAATACGTTCAATTGGGGAAAGGAGCCACGAATAGAGCTATGGGCTGTAAGGATTTAGATGACTCGAGACATAGATTGACATAGTATCAGCATTGACTTACCGTCTAGAATCCTTAGCTCTCTGCAAAAAGACGACCACAATCGCCTCAGAACGAGCATACCCATTGGCACTGTTGTCAAAACTCTTACAAGCACCGTCAGGTGACAATACTCCCAATCTGGAATTGAGACTTCAATAGTAAAATGTATAATTAAGAAGAAAATTGTTTTTATAATAACTATTGTGAGATATACTAAACTAAAAATCGACGCGACCGCGCACGCTGCTCACGAGGAAAAACCTCTGTGTGGTTCGAAACTACTTGGAGGACCAAACCAAACTAAACCAAACTACGTTAAACTTTTTTTCAGTATTTTCACATGAGATACCTTAAATTTTTAGTTAAGAAGACTGCCTCGTTGGCCGAGTGGTCGCAAGTGCGACTGCCGAGCAAGGGGTCTCGGGTTCGATCCCCGGGTCGGGCAAAGTATTACTGGGTTTTTAAAAAAATCTCAGTAGTAGCACGGAGTCTGGAATTGTGCCCGGTATATGGCAATAGGCTCACCCCCTATTACATGGGACTCATAACATAAATAGTGAAAAGTGGGTGTTACATTGTACAGTGGCATAATGTGCACCTCTGCCTACCCCTTCGGGGATAAAAGGCGTGATGTTATGTTATGTTATGTTAAGAAGACAATTCTCGATGTTAATTCAAACCTAAGGTCTGGAGTAATATTTTGCATTAATGTTTCTTACCTGGCAAACTGTAAGGACACGTAGGGATGGAGACACAAGTTGTTCCCTCCAACGATGGCAGCATCACAGTGGCCATCGCGGATAGCTCTATAAGCATGCACCAGTGCATAAAAAGAACTGGAGCAGGCAGTGTCTATAGTATATGAGGGACCAGTCACTCCCAACCAGTAGGAGATACGGTTCGCCAACATGGCACGGGAACATCTGGAATTGAGAAAACTATTTTATTGTAAAAGGGTTAAAGAAGTATTTGATGAAATGCCATGCCATCATCATCGTCACTCAATTTTTTATGTCTATGAATGTTCTTAACAGCTGTCAGCAACTCCAAGTCTCTCATTGGCGGTGACACGTCCAGTTGATCGCTCGATTCCCTACAATACGGTTGAGTTGGGCGGTGCTGGTGTACGTGCCATATTCGTGAACGGGCGCCGTCAACTGGGACTGATCAGCTCCAGACTGCATTATTTACTGTCCTTAAAGTTATCTTTTTCGATCTCTTTGACTAGATTTTAGTGTTACATTGTTCTCGCACAATTCAAACAACAAAACTATGTAACTAAAGAATTCTATTGTGAACCTGATTGAAAAAGAGTAAGTAACCTATGAAGTTTCTTGCTGATTCTTCTCCATAGGAATCTACACCTTGGAATGAGCAAATAGCATTCACTTTTATTTTTTTTTGTTGACGTTCAAAAGTGCCTTTTTGGTCTAATTGAAATAAATTATTTTGACTTTGACTTTAACTTACCCACTAATGCCATAATGATTTATCTGCATCTTCTCATAAAACCATAATTTTTCCCTATTCTGAGAAGCAAGCTCCAATAAATACACCGACCTTAGTGTTGCGGAGTTCTTTGGGGTTCATACCTGGGACCAAAAAATTGTAGCTGAAGATACAAAAATCTTTATGACATCTTCAATAAGTAACTATTATAATCATTAAATAATTTAGTTTAGTAGCTAAGGTTAGGTAATTGCAAGAGCAAGCACATTGACTCAGTAACTTGGTACGATCATAACAAAATCCCAACATAACTCACCAGCATCAATGACAGCTTCATAAGCCTTTTCCAACATAATTCTGCACATGGGATCCATGGTGTGGGCCTGTTCGTAGTGCACACCGAAGAAAGACGCATCAAATTTATTGAGGTTGTTGATCTTGCCGGTACGATGCGGGATTTCAGGGTGAACCAGCTTCCAACGACGAGCATCATTGCTGACTAAATCCACCTGTGAAGATTTAGGAGATGCATTCATATTATAAAACTAGATTGAATGCTTTTTTTATAAGTCACAACAAAAACATTAGTATGAAAGCTCCCACTCAAGTTTTATAGTAGTTTTTACGTAGTGGCATCGTGTAGTTTTTGGGACTCGAGATGGTATGCCACTTAGTGATTTTCTCCACAATGCCATAAATAGAAATAAAACTTTACTGGTGACACGAACTTTATTAAAAAGGTTTTCCTGCAGGTGTATGACGGAGTCCGAGTCGGGGAAGTATCCCGACACGCCTGTTATAAAAACTTCGTCTCCGGGTGTAGGATGAGACAGCCGGTATCCCGACTGCAGCCTGTTTTCAACTATAGTTGATGGTGCCATCTTCAAATGAAACTAATTTTTTTTGGAATTTCACTTATTAACTCGAGGCTGTATTGTTTGTAGACAATTTTATTTTTATTCTTTTAGATGTTACACACTTTGCAGTCTGACACCAACTGAACGAAATATTCAGTGACATTGCAAACGATTGTCTGTTTCTGCAGTTTCGAGTTGTACCCATTATTAATGTGTTGCAGTATTTTTTAGCATTTAATGAATTTCAATGCTATATTATGTAAAATGAATGGGCATAAAGGTCGTTCTTGTTTTCGATTTTTGATTCCTGTTAAGTTCTTGTTGACAGACTTTTTGTTTGTAACTTAATTTATTGTTTAAATGCTGATTTTTATCGACAAGCATCTATATTGCAGGCTTTTAACTTGCAATGAAACTTGTATGTTTGTAAACGCACCCACGACACAGGAGGAAATTCTAGTGTGGGGCAACGTTAAAAAAAAGGAAAGATTACTTTTTAGGGCCGATTTATCAACAACAGTTAAATCTCAACTGTAGAATAAAATTTACATGTGACAGGTTTTGGTATGAATAAATTGGCCTGTAGTCTTTTATTATGGCGAGCATTTTTATAACCATACTGGATTCTCAAAATTAAATTGCAATTTGTATGTGAACCAAGTCGCAGGACAGCTAATGTTTCCCTTTCATAGGTTGCTAGATATATCCATAATGTTAATATGACATTTTCACTAACAAATTAAAGTGATTAAATAGTATAATCCGATGTAAATAAAATACCAATTTAAAAGGCAACTGTTAGTATGTAAGCATTTATTGCACTTTAAATATACGTTGATTGACCGACATAAGATTCGAACACAGACTTTTACAATAGAAGAAACTTCTAGTAAGAAAACATGGCGTCGTGGCTTAGAGCCGCGGAGGATTTCACAACACGTCCGTACGCGTCAGTGGTCGGGGCGATCTCTCTCGCCACTCGTAGCTCGCACCCCCTGCGCTGGCGCGCGAGGTAGCGGATGGTGGGAAGGGATGGTCGCGATCGCGCGCCTATTGGCGTCCTGTGTGACGTTGCTACCACAGATAATAAAATCATAGTCCATAGCTTATGTTTATTTTTAAACGCGTTACACCAATTAGAAAGTTGTAATTTATTCTTTACATTTTTAAATACAATGTAGGTATTTGGTTAAATCAACAAAGTAATTGGCTTAATGAATTTAGATTTATTTATTATCACTATTTAGCAGTTTAGTATACATAGTAATAACATTAACACGTTTTGTTATCGCGTCTGTTTTCAATATCATCATTATTTTTAAGTTGCTAAAAGTAATTGGCCTGGTCATTTGAAATTATATCATTTAATTATGTGCATGAAATTTTAACCCTGCTTTATTGTTAGTTTGAGCGTTTGTATCTCATCAATAAAGTGGTTACAAAACATACCTACATAGATAATATTTGTAACAATATTCGAAGACCACGATAATTTTCTAAAAATGGATTTCTAAGACTGTCCTTTACTTGATTGAAAGATCTTTCACTTTGCTAAGAATGCTATTGACTACAATATCTATTGTTTAATTCTCCTGTCTTTCAATCTCAGCCAAAACGCTGTTGATGATGTCAGCACAGTCCTTGTTCTCAATGATAGAGACGTGGTTACCCTCCAGGAAGTGTACGGTGACATTGTTCTCTGTGTACTTGTCGAGTCCATAGTTCTCTTCTACAGCTACGAAGGACGGGTTCTCTTTGGGACGAAGGAGGACGATTGGAGACTGTAGCTTCTTGAAAGCTTTCGGATCATAGTCAAGGATGGTCTTCAGCCTGTCGAAGGAAACTTGGGCAAGCTTCGTCAAGAATTTATCGGAGTATTTGTCCTGTAATGGAGACATTCTGACTGTTAATGCAATTCTTTCTTCAAAAGATTCAATGTTGTTAAGTTTCTCCATAAGTTCTCTGGTGGCGTCAACGTTGGGGGCGACAAGCTTCATTGTGTGACATAACAGACTGTTTTGCAGTTGGAAGTCGCTTGTAATACTTATAGTCTTCGTGACGAGAGCGTAGGCGAATTCTGGAGCACCGTCTAAACAGAATATTGTTCCCTTGTAACCTGAGAATGAGAAGTAGATTAGTTTAAATGTTTTAAGTTTTCGTAAAGCCTTGAAGGTCTTCTTTTCATTATAATGTATTAGCTATCTTGATTTTACCTTCTTTCTCCAGTCTGGAAGCCAATTCCAAGGCGAGTAGAGTACCATAACTGTATCCGAGAAGCCAGAATGGACAACCAGGTTTAAACATTGGAATCACTATCTGAAAGAAACACAAAATTTTGAACATTATTAGCCATAGAACGATTTTAAAAAGTGATCATTATTTATTACAATAATGGTATTAAAAAGCCTGAATAGCAAAGATGTGTGCTAATTGGCATACTAAATTATAATGTAATGGAAAATAATTTAATGATGAATTACTAAAATAATAAATACAAATCGTTGAAGTCACCTGGTGCAACCTATTGACCATCTGGTGCATGTTCTCGTTCTTGTGTTCCACTCCAAGCTGCAGCACGCAGACCTTAATCTTCAGTCTCCTGCAGAGCGGCTCCAGTACTGCTGCATTACTTTCTAGTCCAGGTAGCATGAATATCATACGCTCCGGAACCTGAACAGATTCCACACCCTGACTTTGAGAACTTAGAAAACAGAATTATTATTATTTTTTTAAATAAAAAGCTTTTTAATGGTTCTTACTTACCTCAACTCCATGGCTAACCATGGAAGGCATGTAGACAATTGGCTCAGAGACCATTTTCTCATCACCAAAATTTCTTATCAGTACACGAAGTCCAACAGGCCCTTCATTATTTGTGAGACGTGAGTTTGAGGCTGAAGATGTAGGTTTGCGCAATGCTGTTAGCTCTAGTAGCCTGAGGTAAAAAATATAAACAAATAGCTAAATTACCTTCATTTCAGGGTCATCCGCTAGTCACAAACTATTACTAATATAGCAAATTATAGAATCAATGATTAACAGAAATACAGTTCAAAATATTTAAAGACATAGTTTCCTAACCTGGAGAATGTCAACGTTCTAACATCTTGCGCCGTGAGAAAAATCTCGAACTCTCTCTCCAGTATTTGGTTGATCTCCAAAGCCATCATACTGTCCATACCCAGTTCAGCCAGCGAGATTTGATGCGATACTGTCTTTAAGTTCTTTATACCTGATAAAAAACAGGATCTGTAGCTGCTTTTATACGGGGTAGATTTATCTGAATAAAAATATCCGCCTCAGCTTCCAATAAATGATAACGTATAACTTAACAAAGCTTTACCCATGATCTGAGCTACTGCATCTAGTGCATTGCCACATCCTTCGCAACCAGTCTTCTTCTCAGCCACCACAATAGAAGACACGATGGGAGCATCCTGCTTCATGAACTTGTCGAGAGCAGTCAGACAGGAAGATATCCTCTGCTGCAGAGTTCCTCCGATCTCAAGTTGAACGTCATCGTCCTGCATGTCGGCTACCAGACCCACCTGTAGAACAATATGACGTTTCTCTCATTCGTTATTACAGCTTGTATTTGTTTCTACTACGTCCTGAAGACTGCCTCGTTGGCCGATTTGATTCCAACGTAAGGCAAAGGCTACTGGGTTTTTAAATAGTAGTAGCACGTAGTCTGGAAATGTGACCTCTTACGAAAAGTGTCTATTACATTGTACAGTTGCATTAAGTGCCGTAATGTGCACTTCTGCCTACCCCATCGGGTATAAAAGGCGTAATGTTATGTTATGCTTGTACTAGTTGTCTATACTTACATCACCAATAGCTCCCCACTGCACAGCCAGAGCTGGAAAACCGAGCTTCTTCCTCCATTCACAGATCCTCTCCATCACGGAGTTGGAGTAGCCATAGTTGGTCTGACCAGCATTACCACGACCACAGGATACGGACGAGAAGACCACAAAATCCCTACGGGGTAATTTTGGTTTTTGTACATATTATCGCAAAAGGTCCAGTATTAACATAACCTTATGGCCTTTTTCTTTAATTACTTTCTTTCTAATATACACGTTTAAATGTATAAAGAAAGTAAAAGAAAACTAAAAGAATAATATTACAAAGAGGATCAAAAATTTCAAATAAATGTGTATTATTAACGTAGTCTTATGTTATTATTAACACATTAAACACCATGGGGGTTACCGGTGACCGACGCGACGTTAGCGGAGGATTTACCTTCAACAATTTTCTATTGGCAGTCAAAAGCTTTAAGTTATAGATAGTTACTTTAAATCTCGACATAGCTTCCTCGATAGTTTGTCCAAATGCATGGTAGCAAGAGCTTTTGGTGCGAACGACGTCTTGAAGGTCTCAGGAGTTTGGTTCTGGAAGATGGAATCCTTTAGGATGACAGCCAAGTTGAAGATAGCATGCACAGCTCCCATACTGAGCGCCATCTTGAGCATTTCCTCGCAGCCAGACTCAGTGGTGACGTCATATGTCGAAATCTGGATATCTGCACCATATGATGCCCAGGCCCTATAAACGCCAATAAGTGAACCGAAATATGAAGACGCTAAAGACAAGAAAAACTTTTCTTAAATTTTTGCCAAACCTCAATCGTGACGACTGGTATCCATTAGTGATACCTCTGCGGGAAGTGAGCAGGATCTTCCTGCCGCCTCGCATAATGAGCCAGTCAGCCAGCTCTAGACCGAAGCCTCCGAGTCCACCGATCACCACATATACAAGGTCCTTGTGGCAAATATATCTGGTGAATAGTGTTTTACGATAAAGGGCTAGGAAGAAAAAGGATTAAAGAAAGTATTCTCAAAAATCTCAAGTCATAAGTGTGTATACTGTATCATATACGTTGTTTGTTCATTTACCTAGGTATAGCATCAATGGGCATTGCTAATGGTCTAAGATGACCGTTACTCTGCTCTTCCTCACGGATCTTGATAATTACCTGAGAATTTTAAATTGTTGTTTAATTTATTGGATATTTTTTACATTATTACGTAGTCCTTCTGTTTAGTTCATTAATGCATGGAGCTTAATATATTTTAGCGGAATAAAGGTTTACCTTCCCGATGTGTTTGCCAGCAGCCATGTAACGGTAGGCATTTTCCACTTCGTCGGCGTTAAAGG